GTAGTCATTTGTGTTCTATAGACCAGAAATTACAATATAATGGATATGTAAACTGAAAATAATTACATAAACACTCATTTTAAACACAACAGCCACTTACGAGCATCTTAATATCACATATGAGCTGTCTCTTCAAGTAAGCATTTCTGCTTATACCCTTAAAAAAACTCCGCCCCTAAAAGAGTGGTGGCAGTCATACGTGGGCAGGCAGGCGCCATGAACAGATGGATGAGTTGGGCTTGGAACTGTCAAATAAGGGGGGTTAGGATGCTTAACAGAAATGGTAAATGGACTGTACTTATATAGCGCTTTTTTATCTTATTTCAAGAAACTCAAAGCACTTTACACTACAATCTGTGCCTCATTTACCCATTCATACAGCACTCTACTAGATCTCTACAAAGCTACTTGAACAAATCATTCTAAAAAGATTAATCAGAGCTTTAGATCAGGGGTTCAGTGTCTTGCCCATGGACACTTCAGCATGTGACTGCTGGTGGATTCAAACCCCCAACTCTTGCATTGGAGGACGACTGCTCTAACCACTCAGTCACAGCCGCCCCAGAAGCGGAGAGTTTACAAATGTAGGTAAACGTAGATGCTTAACAACCTGTTAAAATACACCAAAATGCAGGAAATAGCATCTACTTTATTAAAAATTATCTGGGGGAGGACCCCCATAACCCCGCCCCCACCCCCGCTGGCCTGCCCAGTATTTGTGTTCCAGCATAAATTGGCATTACAAATTAAGCCCTGGTTAAAGAGCAAGTTTTAAATCTCCAATTTAATTCAGTTTCACTTTAAAATTTAAGCGCCAATTCACAACAGAACTTATCTAAAAGGAACAAGTCTAAAGAAAGTCCAATTGTACAGAACCTAAATGAATTTTAAAGAAATAGATTCAAAATCAATGCAATCAAAAAATGCACTCCAGTGAAATCTAATCTAATACTACCTGATCTAATTTGGCACAAGTTAAATGTAAACTTGTCAGTAAAGGTTTATTCAGTTTAATTATTCACTTGAGTTGAATATCACCGTGCGTTTTACAGTAGCAGGACCTGTGAGTGTAGGAGTTAGAGTTCAGCCAGTGGTTGACACTTTGTCCTCGTTCTGGCTGTCAGCCATCACTTACATAAGCAATATTTAGTCAGAGAGGATGACGGACACAACTAAGGCGCATCAACACTCTTCTCCATGACTGCGTGTGACACCTGCTCATACTCTCACCTTGTTAACTCCGCAAAGCATTTAGAACATGTTCAAAGACGAAACGCCACTTAATTCTCATTATTGATTAAAATCAGCCCACTGCAGACTCAAGAGGCATGCTGCAACCTTTGATTAAAAACAAACAAACAAACAGGGCATCAGCTATGCAAGCAAGTTAATCCACAGTAATAATGAACAGCTGTTTTTATTAAATATTGAATACAACAAATATATAACTCTTGAAATACCAGTTAATCAGCATATAAATACTAAATCTAAAGACTTTCTTAAAAGTAGAACATTAAACTTTAAACACTAAAGGCCATGACTATGTCCTGTTTATTTTCTTGGAGGGGGCGGGGCTTACAATTTGTACTGGAACCAGCCAAAGGAACACTGGCTCTAGCTTCTAGGTTCCCGAAGGTTGTATTTTATTTATTTACAGTTGATAAGAAGAAACGATATATAATATCAAATCTAAAATTTTCAGCCAAGCTGAGAATGTCCTTAATTTGTATTCTGACATGTTGCTAATGAAAACGTTCTCGCCACCTAGTGGTGTGGCATAGATATGTCAGCTTTTCAACATAAAATTAATAATAGAACTAATAGAATTAATAGAACATAAAATTAAGTTAATTAAAATACATATATTAATAAATAAGTACAGTAGTCCTTCATTTATTGTGGGGTTTAGGGGACCGCGCCCCCCCATGATAAGTGAAAAACAGCAAAGTAGGGATACAGTAGTCCAAGTTCCAGTTCAAGTAAACTTTATTGTCATTACCATCTTATGTGGTACATGAGATGGTATGTACACAAGTAAGTAGTTTATTTTAGTATTTACAATAGTAGTAGTAAGTAGTACAGTAGTCCCTCATATCGCAGGGGGTTCTGTGGGAATATTAGTTGGATTTTTAAAAGAAAATACATCACTACCATTGTCAGGATATGTGTTTTATGTTTACTTTTTTGTTTTTGTCACCCACCTATTGGTTATTATCTTCTATTTCATATAGGCTTTGCCCTTGAAGGCTATCGCTAGTGGGTTTATCCCCGCGCGCACAGCGCAACACTGACGACTTTAGTCTACGCCCACCTGCTGTGTAGGCCCCACCCCCGGTCAGTATAAATTGGCCTGAGACCAGGGCTTGGCTCCCCTGTTTTCTTCAGCCAGCAAGCAGCACAAAGAAAACTAAAGAGCAGAAGATGATGACCAGCAGAGTGATTCGCCTGTGCCCAGCCTGCAGGATGGGGTACATCCTCAGCTCTGACTTGCACGCCATCAGTGAGGGCTGTATCGGGCAGAACACGCCGGTCAAGCCCTGACACTTCAGGCTTCCTGCCCATCCTACAAGCTTCTCCCATTTGAAGAAAAGCAATGCCAGGCCACCATCTTTTCAGGCGAAGGATCATTCCAGCCCTAGAGAGCTACCCGCTGGACAAGGTCCTTGATTTTTTTTCGATGCAAGGCAGGATTCGGACGTTTCCGCCTCCGACGAGGAGACAGCTAGCAGCCTCGCTCCCCCCCCTCAGACAGGAGGGCTGGAGGCTACCGCCGAAAGGTGGTTTTCCTGGCATACCGATGTCAGAGACCACCCCCTTCCCAGCAATTGGTGCGCTCGTACATGCTCTGCCCGACAATGTCTAGAAGGCAGCAAGCGCCAAAAACCTGATGGTACTGGAGCCATCCGCTCTTCTAACTCCTCCTCTAACTCCTCTACAGTCAGTTTATGTTCCTCAGTCTCCACAGTGTTTTTCCTGTCAGACTGCCATGCTTATCTACACCTGCCACAGCTGCAGCCACTTCCCTCATTAGCCCAGACTTTTTATTCCTTCAGTTCTTACTCCTTCCTCAATAGAGCATTGTCTACACCAACTCCAGTTCCCCTGTGCCTCCTTGAGTCTCCCTGTGTTTCCTTGTGTTTGAACCTCTGATTTTGTAAATGTTTGCTGCTACAGCAGCATTTTGTTCTATTTAAAAATAAAATTATGTTTTATTTTATTTGGGCTCCTTGTGCTTGTCTGCATTCATGGGCATTCGCATCACATGTGGTACATGAGGTGGAATGAAATTGTGTACGCAAAGTCCCAGCTAAACCCAAAAATAGCAATAATGTAAAGTACAAAAAAAGAAACGGTATACAAGGTTCTAAGCTACACACTAAACAATAATAATATAATACGGTGTATTAAACAGCAGCCTGAACATGAGTCTATTGTGAGCAGATGGGTATGAATATAGCAGCTTATGGGTAAGAAATCAGCAGCATGGATAATCAACAACCACAACAACAACCACTGTGAACAACTAACGGCAATTTTATCGTAACTTGTAACTTTACCGCTAGATGTCACTGCACTTAACCTACTGGAACGTTGATCTTAACAGTATTCGTGCACAATAAAACTTCCAGCTGAAACGTACCCAAGTGAAAACAAAGTTTCGGAAAGTGTGAGAAACTAGACATAATTGCAATGTAATCAGAACTAGATATAGTTGTGCTCATCTCGACAGAGCATGGAAATAATCGCTCTGAGAAGGAGACTTGAGGGGCCGGACCCTTTTCCACTCTAAAGTTACCCATGGCGAGAGGCGTTGGGCTGGTATAGGTCTACCAAACCCCCCCCCCCCACCACCACCACCACCCCTGGTTTGGTGCTTGTGCGTTAAGAGTTTTTCCCAGTATTTGAGAGGGTAGCTTCTCTGCTCCTTTGGGTGGAGGAACGGGCTCCAATATTTGTGATTACACACCAAACAGAAGGTCAGAGTATTCAACCACCATGACAATGTAATCTGACTTAGCAGAGTTGCTGAAAGGTGCTCCAACTGGGGACCCCATTATTCTGCTGGGGGGCGTCAATGCCCACTCTGGTAGTGACAGTGTGACGTGGAGTTGGGGTGATTGGGAGGAATAGACTCTCTGATCTCAACCTGAGTGGTGATGAACTATGGTGTTAGTTGTGGTTTGTCCATCATGAACCCCATGTTTGAACAAACGGGTGTCCATAAAAGCACATGACACCAGGACACTCTAGGCCACACATCGATGACTGACTTTGTAGTCATGTCATCTGATCTGCGGCCAAATGTTTTGGACACTCGAGTGAAAAGAGGAGCTGAGCTCTCCACTGATCACCACCTGGTGGTGAGTCGGATCAGGTGGCAGGGGAAGACGCCAAACAGACCTGGTAGAACCAAATACATAGTGAGGGTTTGCTGGGAACGCCTAGAAGAAGAACCCATCAGAAAGATCTTCAACTCCCACCTTCAACAGAGCTTCAATAGCATCCCAAGGTGGGAACACTGAGTCCCAGTGGTCCATAAAAACACATCACTTTGTTTTCCTTACTGTCTTAACAATAAATCAGACCAAACTTTTCCTATTTTATATCTGTTAGAAGCCCCAAAATTATTCTATTTGTCAAACTCCAGAATAACGTTGATAATTCTCTTCCTGGTATCTTGGCCGATTTCTTAGATTTGCTCACGATATTACAAAGAGAAGCAAAGTGTTTGAGGTGTGCCTTAAAAAGGCATCCATAGATGTGCCTTTAAGTAACTCAAATATTATCAACTAACCCAACAAAAGGTTCCAAAGTAACAATACCTCACATTGCAAGATTTTCTAGGAGTTCAGCCCATATCCCATTGAAATTTTGCATATTTTCTCACAATTGTATGCCTCCAACCAGTCGCCACCCCTGTGAGATACAGGGTAACAATTCAAATTCGTACCATGCCCCGTTTTTTTTTTATTTCAATCAAAGATATGAAGTGTACTCACCACATCCTTATGTTCTTGAGAAGCTTTCTCCTGAAAGTCAAAGAACAAGCAGGACATACGTTAACAGCCATTTCCGGTGTCAAGAGATTGTACAACATGAAAATAACTCTGAGTTCAACTATTTGTTCCTTAAACATACTTTCATGCTTGACCTTGGAGTACTAGACGTGTACAGAAGAGTTCCCAAGATTCTCCCACAAACTAATAGGTCCCAGAGTCATACACATCCTGGAGAAACCATGACAACGCTTGCTGCGTAGGAGCAGGAGGGACAGCAATGACTTCCAATGACAAGAAAGCAACCATACTGCATCGAGACTGCAGGGGAAGCAGGACCCATCAGTCCATCACACTTTGCCTTATGCTATAAAGCTGTGCAAGTCCTCACAAACCACAACGGTCAGAGTATTGATCTGCCTGGTAACATAGTTTGTACAATGCAGAAACCTAGACGTATTGGCAATACATACAAGGCTACGGCATGTGTATTTCCTTAACTATTACGGCACAATCTCACTTGAATGTTAATGAAACTGACTGCAGATAGTTGCTCACATCGTGTGTGCCAGGCTCTGCTTGAAACAACAGGTTCGGGTGTAGTTTTTTGGGGGGTTTCTTTCTCCTTTGAACCCCACTATTTAAGTCAGGATGTGGATGTCTCAAGAATGACAGCTCTCTAACAGAATCGGTTTATAAATCTATGTGCCGCACAGGGAAATTGCGCCGTATAGGTCGTTATATCGCAGTACATGTTAAACACAGTTTATTAGAGCACATCCAACTGATGAGGCACATGCCTCCCTCTGCCTCCTCGCACTTGGGATCAAACAGTCTCATCTCTGAGAACATCTTGAACCCTCAGCTTGACAGCAGCTGATGAAACCTGGTCAGCGGTATGATAGTCAGATAACCTATGGATCGTATACAGGTAGGTGCAGGTTAATGATCAGACAGAACTGTTGCTGTACATCACCCTGTACTCTGCCTCACTAATGAGAGTGAAACACATCTACCTGCGCATTTCTAGAACGTCTTGTACCCCCCCTTTATTTATTTTTATTAGTATCACTCTAAAGACAAATAGCTTTGGGGGGGATTTAAAGGCAAATTCAAGTGGGAGGTTTGAGTCTTACCGTTGGTAAAAGCGGCTCCATTTGGGCTCCTTGGTCCGTGATGTCCATGTTTATGTGGCCCCCCTCCCCACCCCTCTCTCTCTATATATGCTCAGAAACGCAGCTCCTGCGTCCAAACGCGGCTCACACACAAAAAAGGAGGAAAAAAAAAAGAAAGAGATATTTGACCTGCTATGGGTGTGATGTCCCCGTCCTTTTGGTCTCCCTCCCGCCACCCCCCCACAACATTCACCGGCTGGAGCTTCTTAAATTCCTCTTCTTAAATGGAGGAAGCAGAGCGCTCCAGACCTGCCCCGCATCATTTACGCACTGAAGAGGAAGGGAGGTGGAGGGGGCGCACGAGTGATCTGGGGGGCTCTGGCGTCCATATTTTAGTCAAACATGAGGCATAAGAATAGATGTTACTGGGGGGGGGGGGGGGGGGATAGGGGGGGGCTTGAAGACTGACCCCCCATGTGAGTCTTTTTTTTTTTTTTTACGCACGAAATGCACCACCCTGGTTCCAATGTCTGAGCAACACCTGAGATGTTTTTTTTTTTAATTCAGCAGCATCCATCATACAGCCATGTTGGATTCGTGTTTGCACGTGGCGCTTTTCCAGCCTGTGCGCGCGCCATACTGTACCCCCGTGAGCAGAAAGAAAGGAGATGAGGGAAAAAAAAAAAAAACCCTCATCCGTAAGGAACCAGGTTTTTATGCGCTTGTTTCAGGTCTAAACGTTGGTTATGATCATTAGACGTAGCCGTCTATTATTAGAGATGGACTTGTGCTTCTTGTTGCGGCACGCGATGTTCCACCAACACTGGTCCAAATCACCCAAGGGTGCCTCCTGTTAAAGATAATGTGCTGGCGCCCTCTGCTGCTCCGCTTGGGTTTGTAAAGTTGCATGAATGAACCCTGTGACTTCTGGAACAAGGTTTTTTTTTTCTCTAGATGAGACCAAAGTAGGAAGGTTTGGTCATTATGGAGCAAAAATACCTCATACCTTAGTGGTTAGCACTGTTGCCTCACAGAAAAAAGGGCCTGGGTTCAATGCCCAGTTTGGGCCTGGTGCATTTCTGTGTGGAGTTTGCGTGTTCTCCTCGTGTTTGCGTGGTTTTTCTACTCCGGTTACCTCCCACAGTCCAAAGCATGCAAGTCAGGCTGCCTTCGGTCTCTTGCAAAAGAGATGTGATCTCAATGGGATTGACCTTTTTTAAATCCGGTTCTTCTTTCGGCTTTTCCCTCTTCAAGGGTCGCCATGACGAGCCATCCTCCTCCATCTCACTCCGTCCTCTGTCCTCACTCCAACTACCTCCATGTCCTCTCTAACTGCATCCATATAGCTCCTCTTTGTCTTTTTCCAGGCAGCTGCATTTCTAACATCCTTCTACCAGTATACCCACTGTCCCTCTTCTGGATGTGTCCAAACCATCCCAGGCTGGTCTCTCTAACTTTATCTCAGTTGTTCAGCCTGTGCTGTACCTCTGATAAAGTGGTCTCAAGTGTGTGCTGTTACCAGACACATGTGACTGAGAATAATTTTTTGTATAAGAACTATTATTACTACTATTATATTATTATTGTAATCGTTATTATTATATAGTAGTAGTAGGATTTGAGTAGTTGTAACAGTAGTAGTGATAGTAACAGTAGTGGTAGTAGTTATAGTTATACCAGTTGTAATAGTGGTAGCAATAGTAGAAATAGCAGTAGTAATAGTAGTGGTAGTAGGAGTAGTAGTATTAAGTTGTAATAGTAGAAACAGTAGTAACAGTAGTAGTAATAGCAGCAGCAGTATTAGTAGTAATAGTTGTAGTATTAGTAGTAATATTAGTAGCTAGAGTAGAAGTAATAATTGTAGTAATAGTGATAGTAGTCATAGTTATTATACTAGTTGTAACAGTGGTAGCAATAGAATAAATAGCAGAAGTGATGGTAGTAGTAATAATAGTAATAGTTGTAATAGTAGAAACAGTAATTATAGTAGTAATAATAGTAGTATTAACAGTAGTCAACGTTGGATTAGTAGTATTAACAGTAGTAGAAACAGTTGTAGTATTAGTACTATTTGTAGAAATAGCAATATTGGTGAGGTAGTAATAGTGGTGGTAGTAGTAGTAATAATAGTAATAGTTGTAATAGTAGAAACAGTAGTAATAAAATTTGTAATAGTAATAGTAGTAGAAACAGTGGTAGTAGTAGTAGTAATAGCAGCAGTTGTGGTCGTAGTAGTATTAGTAGCAATAGTTTTAGTATTAGTAGTAATATTAGTAGCTAGAGTAGAAGTAGTAATTGTAGTAATAGTAACAGTAGTGGTAGTAGTCATAGTTATACTAGTTGTAATAATAGCAATAGTAGAAATAGCAGGAGTGGTGGTAGTAATAGTAGTGGTAATAGTAGAAGTACTAGTAATAGTAGTAATAACAGTAGTAGTGGTAGGAGTAGTATAATCATAATGATAATATATGCAATATATATTCAGGCAGTCCATTAAATTCTAAAACTACCACTTAAATTGTTTACTGGTTTCTAGACTTTTTCAAATTCTTACCAGAACAACTGGAGTTGTGGATTTTAAATTACTATTTCTACTTGTGATAATTTGAATGCAAATATATTCATTTCATGTCTGAAGAATAAGCATGCTTGTGACCAGGAGAAATGCCATATTTGAAGTTTATAACTGTAAATATTGGTAGGAGTGTGATTTGATTGTACAGTCAAACAACTTCATACTTGGTACCAACTCCATCCAACAGGGGATGCAGGTTGGGAGATCATGTGACACATTTTTGTGCACGCAGCTTAATGTGTACCATCTCACTACACGCTCAATACATATTCTCAAGGTACCAGCACATTTTAGGTCTAGACTTTGAGCCATTGCAAACCCCTTTCAGACATTTGCTGTAGATGTGTTGCTATACCATTACCTTATTGTAGTGGTACCCAACACTGGTCCTTGAGGAACACCATCCTGCATGTTTTAGTTGTTTCTCTGCTCCAACACATCTGATTCAGTGATTTAATTACTTCCCCATGTTATGCAGAAGCCTTTAAATCACCCATTTATTAAAATCAGGTGTGTGGGAGAAGAGAAACAACTAAAACATGCAGGATGGTGTTCCTCAAGGACCAGGGTTGGGAACCCCCGCTTTATAATATGGTACAATTAGGTTAAACAGCTGATATGTTTACTATGCGTCTTTATGGGTAGGGGAAAAAAAACAAAAAAAAAACATATGTTACAGTTTGATGGCTCCTCATCAGCACCAGGAGTCAGGATGTTGCTGCCGATGATCCGGATCCGCCCAGCTCGGCGTCACAGCACCGACAAGATGGCTGAGATTATGGCTCGAAAGTGAGGGAGGGAGACAAAAACCAGTGGCGAGCTCTTTTAGCTGGAGATGGCAGAGCGCTGGAGCCGCTGAGGGTCCGGTTCGGGGGACAGAGACACACGCTGGGTGCGTTCCGGACTCCAGTTTTGCGGGTCCATTTTTTTTTTTTACCGGATGTAAACAAACTGCTTCAAAGCAGTGCGCAGACTGTTCGTCACAGAGCTAATGCTAACCATGTTTACTAGCTGACAGCACCGTTACGCACAGAAGACGCTTTCAAAAAGTGACACTTGGGAGAATTTTTTGTAAAATAGTTGCTGCTTCTAAATAATTCGCGTGATCTAATATTTGTTGCAGCACTGTAACTTTTCCTACGCAGGAAATTTAGCTTGGAACTCTTGGCTAGCGCTCCTCCAGCTGGTTAGCATGCTAACATTGCGGATTTCTTGCAGCTCCGGAGTTAGCGTTAGCAACTGTTCTGAGTTTGTTCCGACACAGGAAAGGTTCGTCGCCGTGTGCGGGAAGGACATTTTTGTTTCTGCTTAAAAGTACCGGAGGCGGCAGTCCTGGGTAACCAGGAGACCCCATTCGGAGCGCTAACATTGAAGGCATCGCACAGCCGGGACTGTGAGGACGAGTGAAGCCGAGGAGAACCGAGCCCCGTGCCGGCTTCGTCATGGCCCATTCTCCCGTTCAGGGGAACCTGCCGGGGATGCAGGTAAGCTGAGTGTCTGGTTAACAGTGGAGGACACCGTCAGGACAAAATGTACCGTTTGTCTCCCTGCGGTGGGCTTCTCTGCACTGACCGCACCGAGACAGCTCGTGGAGCGTTTAAGGACTTCTGTACGGCTCGTAAATTTTACAACGAACACGCCGAGGTGTTTATGAATCTCGTACCTTACGTAACGACGCGATGCCTAAAATAACACATTAAAAAAAACACAAAATGCATTTAGGCCAGCTAATAAAAGTTAATATAACACAAGTTAATTATGTTATCTTGAAACACTGTCAAATTTCTAACCCATTCTTAAATTGGTCAAATTTGGATAAGTGGCAGTGTTGCCAGATATCGCGAAAGAAACAAGCAAACAGCTCTATGAAAACAAGCCCACCTGGCAACCCACTGCATTGTGTAAAACTGTATAAACATACTTATGGCATTACACTTTAAACAACAGCAAAATTATGATAAACACTTTGAGTAACACACTTTTAAGCTCTGATATAAAAACATACATATGTAAATCGTACTTTTTCTACATATTTTTTAAAAACAAAACATCCTGACTGAGTGTGAGTGGAGCCACCTGGTGGTCGGCCACAGTATGAGCGTTTGTTTGACTGTGCGCCTGTCGCCTCGCCAACTTGGGCGGGAGCGATGAAGCGTGGAAGGGACAAACTACCTACTACCACACGTCTTTTGCTTTATTGTGCGGAGCTGGGAGATCGTCAACTAGTTCCACTCGGAAAGAACGTCAAGCCCAAATAAGCAACTTCACGTTCAAAAACAAGCCCAAAAAAAGCCACAACCCGCGACACAAGATTCGCAAGCGACTTTAGAAAAAAGCCCAAAGTCGCTTGTAATAAGCAGACTTGGCAACACTGATAAGTGGTGGCACAGAGGTTAGAGAAGGCGAGCCTGTGATCAGAAGGTCGCCAGTTTGATCCCCAGGACCGACAACATAAAAAAATTAATAAAAATGAAGCACCCACACCTACCTTCACCCTCATTTGCCCACTCTGAGCCCTTGAGCAAGGCCCTTAACCCCTACCATCTGCTCCCCTGGGCACCCTGCAGCTCCCTGCTCCACACAGTGAAATGAATAATCGACCCTCAGAAATCCACAATGATGATATAAAAACAAAAGGTTTTCCAACGTACTGTTAAAGCAGGGGTGTCCAGTCCTAGTCTTCAAGGACCACTATCCTCCGTGCTTTAGTTGTTTCTTCAGAAGCCTTGCAATCACTGTTATTCAAGTCAGGTGTTGCAAAGCAGACGTGCAGTACGGTGGCCCTTAAGGACCATGATTGGACACCTCTGCATTAAGGAATATACATTGCACACTGTCGTTAATGCCAGAGTGTTAAACTAAGATCATCTTGTTATGAGATAGGACAGTTTGTGGACTGTTTTCGTCACCTTATGTGTGGTTTTGTGCATTATTGAGAGATTTTTCTCTTGGAGCTCAAAATACAAGTTGAGTCCAGTCTCAGCGGCTTCCATACCAAGTCTTAGTTCAATCTCCGTTAAACTGACTGAGTTTTAGCCATTTTTGTGTTATGCAAAAGTCGCTTAGCTGTTTTAGCCATCTTGGGGTGCATTTAGACCAGCCCTGTTTAGTCCGCTTTAATCAAACTTTAGTTCGTTTGGCTTGAAAGTCTAGTTCGTTTGGAGAGACATGAATGTGCAATTGAACTCTGATGCAGAACTCTGGTTTGCCTAAAAACCCAGGTCTCAGTTTGGTTGAAATGAACTCTAGCGTGGTTCGAATGCATTGTGAATGCAAACGGACCAGAGACTGCTCCAAAAGCAGGAAGTGGACTACAGCGCAGGGCATTCTGGGTAAATACAACCAAAAACAAATGCGCATTTCTCTTACCTCATATGGAGCCGTCTCAGTTGCCTTGTGTGAAAAACAACATTCTCCGTGGTCTTCTGCCTCATCTTGCTGAGTCCATTGTCGAAAAATGTTTGTTTGGCACATGAGCCACAGACACAGCAGAAATCCTAAAACTGCTCAAATTTGACGCCACTCCATTTTTGTTTTTAATTTCCAGAAGAAGAAGCGTCTTCTTCAGAGGTTTTTGTGCCGTTTCCTTTAGTAGTTCTCGGTGCAGCGCCACCTCTGGCGATGCGGGGAACAGGTTGGCTCGATTGACTCAGTGCAGTGTGAATGCGAACCGCACCAGCTGAAAATGTAAACAGATGTCCTGAATTATTGTCCCCAACCGAACCGAGTCTACCGGACTATCAAGTATGAAAACGACCTTAAATTGCGTTAACTCCAAAAGTTAACCACTTGTACATCTACAGATATTGATTACATTCAGCAAGTTTTAGCCGAGTTCGTCCAGTGGTTCATGAGAGTTTTTGCTAGCAGACAGGCTTACGGTATTTCACCCTTTCCCCAAATAGTGGTAAGCAATAAAAACTGAAATATATTTCCAGAAGTATTCAGACCCTTTACTTTGTCCTGCGTTGGTAGCAGCAGTTCCATCCACAAGTTTTGATGCAACAAGCCTTCGATGGGGGGGATGTTCTGCTGTTCTTCTCTTTAAATCCTTTCAATTTCAGTCTGGCTGGATGGAGATCTTTGGTGGAGCCATTTTCTAATTTCATGGGATGTTTCAAATCTTGTCTCTGGCTGGTCCACTCTAGGACATTCACAGCAGTGGTGTAGTCTACGTGATACGCTGGTATACGGCGTACCCACTAGAAAAGCTTTGGAATTTCCGTATACCCACTTAAAAGTGCCCAATGATGCGTAACGTGACGTCATTGATACGTTAAATGCTTTCTTGATGATACCACCTCCATGCTTTACTGTTGGAATGGCGTTGGGCCGATGGTTTCCTCCAGACAAGAAGTTTAGAATCAAGGCCAAGCATTTAACTGGTTTCTGACCAGGGAATCTCGTTCTGCTATTATTATTATTACAGCACATTTTTCATTAAGATGCCTATTTTCTTGTATAAATGTCATTTAGGGAAACAAAGGAGTCTTTTGGGGTTTTTTTGTGACAAAGTTCTGTTTTTACATCAGCCATCTGCTTTAATTTTGGCTGCTTTAAAGTGGATGTAATGAGACTTTCTCTGCTCACAAGAGGTCATAAAAGGAAGTCGTTTTAGTCGGCACTTGCCCTTGTGTTTTCCACATAACAGCCTCTGGAGAGTTAAGTCATTTTAGTTCACTTCCTGTGGTACTCAAGTAGGTTTTCCTTTTTTCCCCTCCATTGTACAATGATAAAAACGCCACAGTATGTGTTGAATGGAAAGTCTGGCTGATGATTCATTGGATTTCATTCATTCATTCAACCTTTATTTATACAGGTTGGTCTCATTGGGTCACAAGGATGTTCAAGAAAGACCTGTTGAGAGGTTGTCCTGATTATTCTTTTTAATTATAAACTGGATCAGTTGTTTTTGGCAGAACGAGGAATTTCTTGCCGTAGACTGTTCATTTGGTTTGTCATCACAAATAAGAAATTAAAGATGATAAACGCTGAGAAAAATAAAGCTATAGATTATGCATGCCAGTAGTTATGCAACTTTTAGGTCAGGTTGTATGGGAATTGTGTTCCGTTTGATATTCTGGTTTTTAATAAGTGCAACTTCTGATTAAATACGGTTGACACAAAAATGAGTTTTTGTTTCGTTATTTCTTTGTTGTGACAATACTTGTTGGGAATCTTGAACAGAAGAAAAATCTGTTTATTTGCTCTTAAATGGCGCCACATTTTTAGAAATGCATTTGCGGGTCGAGCAGCATAGCTAAGTATGTGGGTTACAACCACGATAAACTTGCCATATCTTCTTTGCCGAAGAGCTCATATTGGCTCTTGTTTGGTGTCTTTTGTTGGATTAGATTATTGAAGTGTGAAGAAACAAGACATATTGGCGTTTTAACAATTTATTCATTTAACAAACCGAGCCTCAGTAGGATGTGGAAGAACCATACACAGCCACAGAAGCCTGGCTCCTCTTCTTCTTTACTGCTCAACAGCTTGGTCACACACTGTTGTGGGATGGCTTCCTTTTCTTCAACCAACATTTGTCAGCCAGTATGGTTGTTTTGGTCACTCTGCGACAAATGGCACACCTGATCTAACAGCTGTTCAATGGGGCTGTTAGGACTGCGGACAGACCATTCCTAAAGTCCGGAAGTAGTTCCTGATAAACCCCGCTCTGCGAGGAGTCGAGGACGAGGGTTGTCATCTTGGAGGATAGAGTTCAGTCCCAGATTGAGAAGACATGGGATTGCCTCTGGTTGCAGGAACTTATTTCGTGAGAGGCCCACTTCACAGTCCGTCTTCGACACACCGTTACTTGGCCTTCAATTTGGAGATGGTACTTGGACTCACTCCAAATGATGTTTCAGCCTGGTTTTGTAGAACACCAGCTTGAAGTTGACCTAAGACATGGGCCCTACTCATATCAGACAAACGTGGATCAGACACCAACTGCTCACTGTAGCATGGCCCATTCTCTCAGGTATCATTAATTATCAAGGATCAATAGCAAAATAGAGAGACTATTTGACAAGTTTTTCATGGGTGCAACCCACATACTCAACTATACCACTCAACCCACTGATTTATTTTCCTAAAATTTGGCACCTTTTAATGGGAAACAAACAGGGTTCGCAACAGTAAAAGCTTTATTGCGAAGAACCATTGTTACAACAAACAATCAACCAAACACAAATTTCCTTACTTTTTGAGCTATGTTTATTAGTTGAGGCATGAAGGTCCAAAGTAACAATGTGTTCTGCAGGAAATGCATACAAAAATGTGAGCTTACAGAAATGTTTTATAATTCCCCGGAGTAATGTGTCCAAACAGAACGTTCTCAAATGTTGAAAAGGACAGTTTTCATTCTGTGTATGAGATCAATGTAACCCAGATATATTTTTAATTTATAAGGGAGTTGCTGCACGTTTGCCCTAACATTGTATCAACGATTCTTCTTGAAACGACTAAACACTAAAGATCAAACTTGTCATTGAGAAGAGTTGAATATTATATGTAGCAGTTAGTTTAATTTAATATTTTCGGTTTTATCTACATATTATCCAATTGGTATACTATTTTTTTTTAGGGATGCACGATGTTGTATTTTTGGACGATATGCCGATATGTTAAAATTTATTTGGCCGATACGATACCATGCCGATAATATCGTATTTTTAATATTTTTCTCCTGATTCTGTTTTCTGTGTACATAAGTGTTGCAATGAGTGAATTGCAGTATGTCAGTGTGTCCTTTTTACTCCCAACAGTCAGGGTTTTTTTTCCAACTTTCTTGTTTTTTGTTCTCCAAGCTTTTGTTTTCAGTTTTAAACCCATCTCCCTGTCCTCTGCTTTGTCCCCTCCTGATCGCGGTCAACCACCAGAATGCCAGAGTGGACCCCGAGGAGCTGTTCACCAAGCTCGAGCGCATCGGCAAGGGTTCTTTTGGCGAGGTGTTCAAAGGCATCGACAATCGCACGCAGAAAGTGGTGGCCATCAAGATCATAGACTTGGAGGAAGCGGAGGACGAGATTGAGGACATCCAGCAGGAGATCACCGTGTTGAGTCAGTGCGACAGCCCCTTTGTCACCAAGTATTACGGTTCATACCTGAAGGTAATTGCTCCACGTATGAACAGGGCCGATCAATATGACTAGGACGTTTTCCGCGTCTTTATTTACAAACCGGGTTCCAAAAAAGTTGGGACACTAAACAAATTGTGAATAAAAACTGAATGCAATGATGTGGAGATGGCAAATGTCAATATTTTATTCGTAATATAACATCGATGACAGATCAAAAGTTTAATCTGAGTAAATGTAACATTTTAAAGGAAAAATATGTTGATTCGAAATTTCACAGTGTCAACAAATCCCAAAAAAGTTGGGACAAGTAGCAATAAGTGGCTGGAAAAAGGAAATTGAGCATATAACGAACAGCTGGAAGACCAATTAACACTAATTAGGTCAATTGACAACATGATTGGGTATAAAAAGAGCTGCTCAGAGTGTCAGTGTCTCTCAGAAGCCAAGATGGTAAGAGGATCACCAATTCCACCATTGTTGCGCAGAAAGATAGTGCAGCAATACCAGAATGGTGTTACCCAGCGTAAAATAGCAAAGACTTTTAAGTTATCATCATCAACCGTGCATAACATCATCAAAAGATTCAGAGAATCTGGAACAATCGCTGTGCGTAAGGGTCAAGGCCGTAAAACTCTACTGGATGCTCGTGATCTCCGGGCCCTTAAACGTCACTGCACCTCAAACAGGAATGCCACTGTCAAGGAAATAACAGAATGGGCTCAGGAATACTTCCAGAAAACATTGTCACTATTTTAGTATGCTGTTTTTGTGTTCATAAAAATAATCAAGATATTTCAAACAGCTCATTCTACTGTTGACTTGTTTGGTGTATTTATTGGATTGGATTATTGTCTGCAGAAACGACAAAATTGAAATTTAACAAGCTATTCATTAAACAGACTTAAGTCTCGGTAGCATGTGGAAGAACCATACGCAGCCACAACAGCAAGGCTTCTCCAAATGCTGCTCACCAGTTTGGTCACACACTGCTGTGGGATGGCATCCCTGTTTTCAACCAGCATTTTGTTGTAGTTTAGACAACGTGGTTCTGTTGGTTACTTTGGAACAAACATCACGCCCAAGCTGATCCTACAAGCGTTCCCTGGGGTTGATGTCAAGACTGACATCCCTCATATCGGTGCATTTTCCTTACAAATGTGGCACTATGATGAAATAAACAGGCTTTCCAACAATAAAAGCTTCATTTGATGGTTTGTTTTTGTTTTTTCTGCTGCAGGACACAAAGCTATGGATCATCATGGAGTATTTAGGTGGAGGCTCAGCCTTAGACTTGGTTAGTGATTTCTAAGTTCATACTAACATGTTGGAACTGAGTTACACAGTTTATTAGGTTTGAATGAACTCCTTTCCTTTGGTGACTGTACCTACGGCTTAGATGGCACCGTCATTTGTGAACTTGCTGTTGTCGTTCGTCCCTGTATATATTACCAGTTCATTTAGAACAAGTAAAGTTTTGCTATAATGTTAGATGATTAGCTGACAGCCACAGTTTTTGTTTTTTTTGTTTTCTTTCAAGATGGAGCCTGGAGCGCTGGATGAGACCCAAATCGCCACGATCCTTAGAGAAATCCTGAAGGGTCTGGAGTACCTGCACTCCGAGAAGAAGATCCACAGGGATATCAAAGGTATCTGGCTGCATTCAAGGAGCGCAAACACAAATATCACATCGCACGTTAATGGTATTGATGTCCACTTAATGCTTCACTTATCATATAGTTTGTATTCCAGCAGGGAGTTGTGTTGACTGTTTAATCAATAATTGACATAAGTGGCTTTGACAGAGGTTTCTGAAGATGGGGGGAGGGTTTTTCTGGGACACATTAACCTGACGTTTTGCTCCCTCCTTGCCCACAGCTGCCAATGTGCTGTTGTCCGAACAAGGAGAGGTGAAGTTGGCAGACTTTGGCGTGGCTGGCCAGCTCACAGACACTCAAATCAAACGAAACACCTTTGTGGGGACGCCCTTCTGGATGGCCCCCGAGGTCATCAAACAGTCGGCTTATGACTCTAAGGTGAGCTCAAAGGAAGTTATGGTTTCACCTTGAGGTGCAGTATGTTGGCGTTATGTTGGATAACTTTACCTTTAACTTCTATTTGTAGGACTAGGTGCTACTTCTCAGTGGTTGCATTTAGTCCCCTAGTATTCCTACATTTAACCTCGTGATTTCAAATTAAAAGTCAAGTGTACCCTCACATGGTCGTAATGGGGTGACTTTGGGAATAAGAACACTTGATTCTGGACACTGCATCTAATTTTGGAACTGTTTGCAGAGTAATAATGGGTCCAGAAGCAAAGCTGTTTCATTTGGAAACGCATTCATGTACTCAACAAAGTTCAGTCAGGTCGTCTGGACGGTTTCTTTTTTTGTTGAGACGTTCCGTCCTTCATCCAAAGGACTTCATCAGTCCGAGGAGACACAACAAATTTAGTCCCACAAGCAGCGCACTCCCATAGTGGACCAGCCAGTTTGCTGGTGATAAGATGGTTTCTGGGGTCCGTCCTCTCCCCCCATCATGACTGGCATGACTGGGTGTTGGGATGGCCTCCGGAGCCCGCCCTCTCCCCCGTCGGCTCCTCTGGGACAGACATGCCAGGGTGGTTCAGAACACCAGGGTTCATGCTCAGTGGTCCAGGTGTACAATCCGACAATGTTCAGTCATCTGGACGGTTTCTTTTTTAATCCGCGACGTTTCGTTGTGCGTGAACTTTGGTGTTTTGGGCCACTTTGGCATGGCTGTCTCAGGGGAGGACGGGCCCCGGAGGCCATCTTAGCACCAGCAAACTGTTTTTTTTTTTGTTTGTTTTTTTTTGGGGGGGGGGGGGGGGTTTGTCTACTATAGAGTATGCTGTTGTTGTGGGAATCAGTTTGTTGGTGGCTTCTCAGATCGAAGAAGTCCTTTGGATGAAGGACAAAACGTCTCGGCTTAAAAAAGAAACCGTCCAGATGACTTGACTGAACATTGTTGGACTATCCTGCATGTTTTAGTCGTTTCCCTGCTTTGACACACCTGATATGAATGAATGGGTGATTAACAGGCTTCTGCAGAACTTGAGGAAGTAATTAAATCACTGAATCAGGTGTGTTGGAGCGGAGAAACATCATAAACATGCAAGATGCTGTTCCTCAAGAACCTGGGTTGGGAACCACTGCCTATGGTCACTTGCCTTGGCAGGGCACTCATCGCTTCAGGGATTTTTGTGGCAGGGGTAGGGAGGAGGAGATGGAGACACGTCTGTATTACGTGCTATATTTGCGCTATGTTAGTGCCGGAAGTTGTCGACGGGTTGCGGGAATGTGTGAGAGAATCGGAGTGCTACGTCTGTAGCTTCTTAGCAAGCGCATCTGTATTGTATGCCGCTAGCTTAGCTCTACGTCAGTGGCGGCAGTTGTCGACGGGTTGGGGGGATGCGTGAGAGAAGCAGAGTGGTACATCTGTAGCTTCTTAGCTAGCATATCTGTATTGTACGCCACTAGCTTAGCGCTACGTCAGTGGCGGCAGTTGTCGACTCATTGGGGGGGATGCGTGAGAGAAGCGGAGTGCCACGTCTGTAGCTTCTTAGCTAGCACATCTGTATTGTATGCCGCTAGCTTTGCTCTACGTCAGTGGCGGCAGTTGTCGACGGGTTGGGGGAATGTGTGAGAGAAGCGGAGTGGTACGTCTGTAGCTTGTTAGCTAGCGTATCAGTATTGTGCGCCGCTAGCTTAGCGCTACGTCAGTGGCGGCAGTTGTCGACTCATTGGGGGGATGCGTGAAAGAAGCGGAGTGCTACGTCTGTAGCTTCTTAGCTAGCGCATCTGTATTGTACGCCACTAGCTTAGCGCTACGTCAGTGGCGGCAGTTGTCGACAGGATGGGGGGACATTTCGGTAGGCAGAGCTCTCAATTCTGTTGACAGGATGGGGCGCTCTCCTTGGATAACGGTAGGGGAAGCACATCAAGTTTTGAACTCCTAACGCTGCAGTGAATGTGAAAATTTATCCAAAAACTATTTAAAATTCAAACTCCAAATGAGCTCACAGAGCTAATTACAGATGTTCAGAGTGCTCAGGCTCTTGTATTAATGTCCATATTCACTCAGAAACATGGACATTTCTTTCCCACATAAAACGTTTGTGTTTTTTCATGTCTTCCATGAGATTTACATGTGCGCTGTGTGTTCCAGGCTGATATTTGGTCACTGGGCATCACGGCTATCGAGCTGGCGAAAGGCGAGCCGCCCCACTCAGACCTCCATCCCATGAAGGTTTTATTCCTCATCCCAAAGAACAACCCGCCCACGCTGGAGGGCAACTATTGCAAACCCCTCAAGGAGTTCATCGAAGCCTGTCTCAACAAGGAGCCCAGTTTTGTACGTCGTCTTGTGTTGCAAACTTTTTATTTTATTTTATTTTGATGCACGTGCTTCACTTTTTCCTTCCCTCCACAGAGGCCAACTGCCAAAGAGCTGCTTAAGCATAAACTGATCGTCCGCTATGCGAAAAAGACGTCGTACCTGACCGAGCTGGTAGACAAGTACAGGAGGTGGAAGGCAGAGCAGTCTAGAACTACGGAGTCCAGTTCTGATGAGTCTGACTCGTAAGTTTGTTGCAGCCATCCTCAAAATCTGGATCCAGATCTCCTCCTTTTCATTTGACCTGGTTTTTATTTCATGTTATAGTGTGAAAACACACAGGTTTTCACCGTATTTGTGATAAATTTACTTTATTATGTGTCTGATCAGAGAGCAGGACGGTCAGGCGTCAGGTGGGAATGATTTTGGCAGTGATGACTGGAACTTCACCATCAGAGAAAAGGACCCCAAAAAGCTTCAGAACGGGGAGGGACAGTCGGGAACAGAGCAGGTCAGCAACTGCTGCTAGACTCCTTCCAAATGTTCCAAAGGATGAAGTACTTTAATTTACTTTCAATTCTGCTCTAGTTCTTATGTGTTCCTGCTTTCCGACAGACAAAAGACATTCCAAGGAGGCCTTATTCACAGAGCCTGACCACAGTCATAGCTCCTGCATTATCTGAGGTAAGGATCTCCATCTGGGTCGTCCCAGTCACGCTCAGTGGGACTTGAAACTTTTCCACACAATAATGCAGTTTTTCCCTAAACAACTAGGCCTGTCACGATAACAAATTTTGCAGGGCGATTGTCTCAGAAATTATTGCGATAAACGATAATATTGTTTGAAACTTGACAATAATTAGTAATTATTGTCAAGTTTAAGAAGAAATGTTTAATTTGTTTTGCACGTAGTACCTTTTTTGACCACCAGATGGCAATATAAGACTGAACTCAGGGATGGATAGTGAGGGAGTGAGCAGCGTGTCTCTTTAAGAAAAATGGGAGGGAGGCCTCTTGATGTGACATGGGTTGTCTCTCTTCAGTTCACAAAATGGCGGACGCTTGGTGTGATTTGAGCTCTTTAGCATAGCATTTTTCACACAAAGCGTTTAATAAAAAATCAGTAAACAAGTTCTCAGCTTCTTTTTGTAGACAAAAACAACTTTTTAGACGAAGGCACGGGTTTCAATCGTGAATTTTTGGATCGTTAAAACAGATTTTAAAGAAAAAGGGAGGGGTCAGTGAAAAGCACCGGAGTTAAGCTTTTTGTCATCCAGTGTCTTCAGAAAGAGAGAGACACGAGGAAACGATAAAGCCGACAAATGAAAATGAGGTTGATAATTTGCATTTATCATACGATTAATTGATTTATTGCTTATCGTGACAGGCCTAAAAACAACTTCTTTTTTTTGTAAACACTGCACTGTTTCTAGAAATGTATTCATCCACACAAAAACAGAAAATGATCAAAAACGCTGTAGTAACTTTGTCAGACCTGTAGGTGGTGCTGTAATCCTTCCAGAAAACCACGCTAAATGCGGAAAACAAACTGCGTACACACCGGGACGAACTGTAAACACAACAGGTTGTGGGTTAGGTTAGAGGCATGGCTATGACATCGTTTTCAACAGCTTGACTTTTGGCTGTTTTTATGAGAACTGAAGAGGGAGATCTCGAGGAGATATTAAAATTCTATGTTGCACTCCTAAAACACTGCGGACACAAAGCTAAGTTGATTAACAAACATCATGAAGTTGTTAAAACTTGCCATGTGGCTGGCACCAAAACCAGTGACTGTAATGCAAATATTCAAGCAACTGGCTTTGAATGGGTTTTGGGTTGAATACAGTGTTTTTCATCTGTCTTATCTACGATATCATCCATCTTCTGTCTTCTCATCTGTCTTATTCCATTTGCCTGAGAAGTCGGGCCTCAGATGTGGCAATGCCATCACACCGAATTAGGGAAAATGTAGGATTTGCTAATTGCGTTCCTCACTGGACTGCGACTAGTTGGTGAACAGCATTTGCAATTCAGTTTCCAAAACATCTTTGCAGTGTTCTCAGTTTCCTACCTTGAGCCACAGAGCCTCGCAGTTTTATTGCTTGAATTTTGAACATGTCTATAAACAATTGTGTTCAGTCGGAAGAGACTGATGGGCCTTGAGCATTCTTATAATATTGGAAACCGTTTATAAACCTTCACTGGTGCCTCCTCACAACATTGTGGGAAAATCTGGAACTGTGGGATCTACATGTACACTAACATCCTGGGGAGAGAACATGTTTGAACAAAACACCGGCACAAAATCCGATGCACTGGGAATTCTCATGGTTGACCACAGCGCCGCCTGCTGGCCACTGGAGAAGGGTTGTTGGTAATTGCCTTCCTCATTTAATCCATCGGTGACCTTATGTTAAATTCTAATTAGCTCTAATCCTGATTACCTAATCACAGAAGTTCTGTGTGAGAATAATGCCCACAGATTGTGCATTTATTCCTATATTACAGACTTTTATACTAAATGTCTGAACAACCTCAACTGTACAGGGTTGTATTCTTTCTCTTACTGGTCTTACTACATAGTTTCTTTTCTGGACCCCCTCTTGTAGTTGAAAGCTCGACAGGAGCAGGTGAATGGGAACCCCATGGTCCTGGATGAGCTAAGGGAGGCTATCCTCCTGGCTGAAGAGGCCTACCCGGGCATCTCCGACTCACTCGTGGCTCACATGGTGCACAGGCTCCAGAGGTAAGGTCTCCTGTTTTTGAGGACGTTTCCACCAAACAGGTTCCAGTGCAAACTCGGAGCAAGGGGTTAGCACCGTTTCTTTCAGTTTTCACCTCAGACGGCACCGACTCTAGCACCTAAAAACTGGTACTGTCTCAGCTCCAACTCTTTCCTGGATCAGAGGAAATTTTTACTTTTGTCAGGAGCTGTCTCACAGAGACCAACAACTATTACAGTACAACTGATGTGAGTGCCGTGTTTAAAAACTGTTTTTACTTCTAGTCTGTGCAAAACGATTAAAATCCTCTACCTAGCCTTTAATAAAAGTCAGCTTAATCTTAGAATAACTTGAGCTCAATGTCTTTCGTCTTGTCCTGTTCACTGTTGTCAACTAAATCTATAAACACTGTTTGAAGCACAATGTACGCATACTCTTGTCTCTTTTTTTTTTTTTTTTTTTTTTTTTTTTTTTTTTTTTTTTTTTTTTT